TTTGTCACCGCCTTTAAAAATCACCCCCCCCCCGTACACATCTTTTCATTTATTTATTTTAACTACACTTGGCAATTGCACACTAGTGCCATTCTGAAATGCCATGCCTTGCCTAGGCAATTTCCAGGGTTGTGCCTGTTGTCAAGTGCAGCAGGTGTCCCTCATGTGACCCAGAGAAGCTAGTTCGATTTGTCTTCACAACTGTCAAAAAGTAAACCATCAAGCAAAATCAAAGCTATAGGTGTTCTTTGCTCACAAAAAGGGAGTGGCCACTAGACCAGTTATTTCATAGTGAGATTCTCAAGGAATAATAATAATAATAATAATAATAATAATAATAATAGTATATTAAAATCTGGCTGCTTTATGGGTCCTCTCACTTTTCTACCCTCTAAAAAATCTGTCAAAAAATAAACAAGCAAAACATATTTAAAAAGTTGTTATGACTTCCATAAAAAGGGGTGTCTCCCACTTTCCTGAGCATTTAGAATCTCAGGAAAAAGTGGAAAAATAAGAGGAACCTTAGGGAAGTCGGGTGGAAAATAACAAACCTTGAAGACCTCAGAGCACAAGTGGTGATCTAGTGACCACCTGCTTTAATGATTATTCACAGCTCCTTCACATGTCTTTTTTCCAGGGTTTTTCTTTCTGTGCCTTTCTGTATGCTCCATTAGACAACCACCAGGGCATGCTGTGATGTAGCAGAGTTGTGCAAATACATGAGAGTTTCATGCTGCTGTTCAGAGTTAATACGAGCTTTTGCATGGTCTGAAAAAAGCCACAAAAATGGCTGCAAAGTGACAAAAAAGACCCTGGAGGATGACATTACTATAAACAAGCATACAATAAAATGTCTTGTGCAGAAAGATTTAAACATGGTGCTGAAGGAGTTATAAAGCCCCCTAGGAAGTTATCTTTGCCAGGAGCTGTTTTTCCATGCTTTAGTTTGGTGATAGCTATTTTTATTTCTTGCTCAGAGGTTGGTTGCTTTAAGCCTTCTCAATCACAATGATAATGTCCAGTTGATTTCATTTTTACCTTGTTTAAATAGGATTTGGTGAACAGCGTTTGAGGGGCACACAAAATATACAGGTTGTCATAGCATTTAGAAAAGCCCCATTAAGTTTAACATTTTCATGTTAAAGTGAATTTTGTCATTCTTATTTTTGCTATACAAAATATAATTTCTAGCCTACTTTTCCTATGGAGTCTCAGCTGACAGCCTGGAATTCTTGTTACCAAATTGATAGTAATTTCTATCAGTTACTATCAGTGTGTTACAAGAGTCTCATACTGCTTGGTTCTGCCTTGTTTCCCGCTTTGTTCCATACTCCATGGCTGCACTTTTTCTTTGGTGTGTACATGGATTGCTCCCAGCCTAACAATTTATTTAAAGAAATTCTGCAGGAGTAGTTTCTGTCTTTTTTTCCAGTATATGTTAGATTTTTGAAGGCAGAGTCTCCTTCCTACAGCTTTCATGGAATGCAGCAGTGGGTCTTGTGCCATGTTTGACAAGAGTTTTTTCCCTCTAAGATTTGAAGCAATTGCCTCTCTCATCTTGTCTTCTTGCAGCGGAGATTGAGATTGAGGTGCCGTGTAGTGATAACAGGTGGTGGCCCTTGGATGTCTCCAAAGGGAGACGAATGCAGGATCCCAGGCAGGATCTGAGGCTGTCAGTCTGAGCATCTGTAAATCCCGAGAGGTACTGAGATGATAAATTTGTGGTTATAGTTTGGTTCTTGGAGAAAAAATGGTGGTATTTTGGTCTCCAGGTGTTGAACTAGGCTTTATGCATTAACCTCCATGGCAATAGGACTGGAAATGTTCTGAAGATTTGTAGTGTGTGAGCCCTTTGGTCCGAATTGGACCAAACACTCCATTCAGATCATACCCTAGCTCGAATGTTTCTGGTTTGTCCAGGGGAGGATGGGCCGCAGTGGCACTCATTAGGACTGGGGATGGCGGGAACTTTGCCTGTTACAATGGCAGTGGCCCTTAATCTAGAAGGGTCCACCACAGAGACCTGCCAGTACCGGTGATGATGACCTTTTTGGTCTGTGTCTTGACATAAGGTCCAGCCTGGCGTTTCCTTGCGGTGCAGATTCAATTCCTGTCATGTCCCCCATCACTGCATAGAGGACCTGATTCAGATTATCCAGAGGTCACCCCACTTCACGGGGAGTTCTCAGCACCCACTCTGTGCCTTGGCTGTCCTATCGCTCATCCCGGAGGATGGCTTCCCAGCAGCTCCCATCTCAGCCACGCAGGAATGCGGGACTGACTGCTGGAGCACATGCCTACAGTCTAAAGCCTATGGTCAGCAGGGGCAGGCCACTGAAGCTCCATGCTCGGCCAGCCGCCATTAGCCCTCCGTGGATGATGGTGCTCTGCATGGGGCTTTCCAAGGTCCTGCTGCAATTCAGAACAGTCACGGAGCGGCATGCCGTCACCCACTGCTTCTCGGCCGAGAGCCTCGCCAGAAGAGCCTCCCTTAAAGGGATGGGTTCGGCTCCGTCAAGGGCCAGCTGGAAACTCTCCGTATAGAACGTAACTCCATAGCTTGTGCTTTTAGATTGACCTTCATCTTGGAGCAGAGATACTCACCAAGCACTTCAGTGTGTGCATACACCTTGTGAATATTCCAGCAACACCATTTGCACCTCCAGAAGGCTCCCCTCCTTGCCTCTCACATTCCATTTATAGCAGCTTCTACAACCTGTGAGAGAAAGTGGGTGGTTGGGCTATATAACTGAGTTTAGGCTTTATTTCTTGTTTCAGCGGAGGGCCTGCTGCAAGTAGCTCTGCAACTGAGCGTGGTGTGGATGATGTGAATGGCAATACTTTGTGAAGTTGCAAGCTGCTTCTGCTTTGCCCAGGAGAGCAGCAAATGCGCTGGCAAAATAGCCAATGACTTGGGAGTCAGATGTAACACAGAAGAATAGCATATCCAAACAAAACCTGGAGGGACTTCAGGCAGTTGTCAAAGTTATCCTGCAAAAAGAAGAAAATGCTGGCAGCCTTTATTTCCTTTGCCCTGGATTCAGGCACAGGGTGGTGTCAACGTTGCATGCCGTGCCTTCATAACCAGTACTGGTAGCCAAATACTGAGGAAACACCAGGGCCAAGTCAGCAAGCAGATTGGATGCTCTGGATTTTGATCAAACTGGCAATGATCTAACCATCAGTATGGATTGGAATGCCCTGTCGCCCATGCCTACCTCCCTTAGCTGTCCATTAGGGCTGAAAGGGTTTTTGCCTGGGCAGTATCTCTAGGCAAAGCTCTTGGCCCACCTGCACATTTTTTGCCCTTGTTTCCTAGTACTCGGAGTTCAGGTAGATTTTCTGTGCACTGTACAGTGATATCTCCTGACTGTGCACGTATGCGAAGCCCTTGCCCCACAGGCCAGGAAGCTTCAGATTTCAGTGCAGCTGGGCGCATCTCTTCAAACCAGATCTCGCCTTCCATCCGTTCTATGATACCACAAATATACATTGCTGTACTCCTCCCAGGTGCTTCGAATATTAGGTAGTATAGAAATACAGTAAATAATAGTACTTGTTCAGGCTTTAATTACTGTTTTGCAGACCCTCTTCCATTTTAACTTGGGACTCCCTGATCTCCCTAGAGGAGGCACTGTACCTTCCAGGGCACTGGATCAACCTTCCAGTGGATCATTTTCATTTTTGTTTCTGCTATTGTTGTCATATTAGCAGTGCTGACATTTTCCTACCTTTGAAGTCTTTGCAGAATCTCACCCCATACTTAACTTCTTTTTTTTCCTTTTTTTTAACTTCCCAAACACTCAGCCGATAGTCCAGTGAATAAAATTACTTCAGGTTCTGTTTGTTTTATTGAAGACCAGAGTCATGACATTTATAGTTCACTGAAGTTTAGAAGCTAGCAGAAAATGTTACCTGGTATAATAGATTCTGGAATAATTTTTAAGGAGGGCCTTCAACATCTAACTGAATTGTATGTTTTGTAACATGACTGATTTGCCAGAGAGTTTAAGAAATGCACAGAGATACATAGAAACAGAGTGAGTCAGAAGGGGCCTCCTAGGACATCTAGTCTGACTCCTGGCTCTAGCCGGCTCCATTCATGACATGCCTGCCACGTGCATGTCTAGCCTATCCTTGAACACCCTCACTGATAGGACCTCAACCACCTCCTGTGGAAGCCCATTCCATACCCTCCCATGGAAGCCCATACCCATGCCATAGTTTTGCAGATACTGAATGAACTCCAAGCATACCCTTGGCGCTTTTGTTGCCTGCCTGCTCACCTGCCTCTGGCTCTGGCCCAGGCAGTTGGAAGCAGTGGAGCAGCCGCAGAAAATGTACGACTTGCCTTTCTCTGGCTCTCAACCAGCAAGCACAAGGTAGCAGCAATGAGAAAGAGGAGCAAGAGCAACTCTGCTTTAAAGCCCTTCCGGGAACGTATCAGTTACCAGAAGTGTTTCAAAGCACAGTGATGGCACATCCACAGCTGGTCAGAGAAGAAAAGATGGATGTCCCATCTATTTGTTTGTATTAACTCTTGGCCAAGTTAGGGGAATAGCCATGGGGCTTTCTTACAAGGGACATAGGAACCTCTTAATGTGGGGCCCTTCATAGCCATGAGAAAGTACACTTGCTAAGGTTGCACGCCAACTAAATGTGTCTTGCTCAAACACCCCTCACAGACCTGAGATCAGCACTGCTTCAAGGATGCAGATGCACATGGCTTGCAAGAAAGTGTGAATGCTGGGTGGAAGAGGGAGGAGACACCTTGAAACTGCTTTCAAAATAAAGGGACAATGAGTTTGCAAAGAAAACAAAAACTCTGTAAGTTATTGCTGTATGTTTCCCAAAGAAGTTAATTGCCCATCAGTCTAGTTAATTGTAAGGCAGTAAAAACTGAAACTCGGGTAGCATAGTGAATCCCAGGGCTTTTGCTGGTGATTAAAACAAAAACTGCTGCTATTCTTATTCCAGAAACTCTGACAGATTCATTAAAGATGCTAACAGACCGAGCCCAGAAATCTCTGGGCCCCTGCAAACTGCCAGGAGGATTCCAAAGCAAAGTGGTGGCACCTCGCAATCCAAAGCTGGTCAAAGAAGAGAAGAAGAAGGATGCCCTGGTACGTTTCTTTGCACGAGTTCTTGGCCAGGTTAGGGGGATAGCCCTGAAGCTTTTTTATAAGGGACGGTGGAAAACCTTTTAGCTTGGCATAGTTTACTTGATGTGGGGCACTTAATGGCTGTGAGAAGATAGACTCACTAAGGGAAGGAACCAGTTGAAGGGACTTACCCAAATGCTTCCCCCCCACCCTTTAAAAAACCCAACCCTTAAAGTTTTAATCTTCCCTCCTCTCAGCAGTCATGATCTGCTTCCACTGGCCTGCCATAGAGCTGTTTGGTGGAGTGGTGGGGGGAGCTTCATTCTCCTGGGAAATGGTTCCCTCCGAGACCTATTACCATGCATCAATCTTCCAGCAGAAGCACCTGATCCTGCTGGGAAATGGGTGCATAGGGATGAATCTGTACATACTTGCCTTCTAGCAAAAACGGCACTTACCAGCCTGCCAAACAGCTGGGCCGTTGGTGGGCTGCTGCTTGTGGGCCGAATCTGCTTGGAAACAGGTGCCCAAGGAGCTTTCCCTGCACGCTGTTTCCTAGCAGCTCACCAAACAGCCACTGGTAGGCTGGATAGAACCTGATTTTGCTCTGATGCTCTCCATCTAGTGTGCCCTGGTAGGTGACATGTGCAGGGGTGGGGGAATGGGGTGGAGAAAGTACACGTGGGGAGAAAGGCAGCTATGACAGGTCCCACTGGGGGCTGCCCAAACCAGCCTGATTTATAGTTTCCCCTTTCACTGTCGATGAAATAGATCTCCAGCTGATTCATTCTCTCTGCTCTTCTGTTTTTTACCAAGGTAGAACCTTTGATTTCATCCTCAACACCGCCCTACTTTTTCTGAATAATAAATATTATTACAGAAGAGCAACATTATTTATCCATTGTAAGAGGGCATAGGTTGATATATCACCTTAGAAGGCATAATGAAGAAACAAGTACCTTTAAGGAAGTGCAGAGTTGTGTGGGTTTTCTTCTCCCCTGTCAGTCTCCATGCACCTAAGACTAGGAAAAGGGGCTTCCAGTTCAGAAGGCAAGCCTGCATTCTAGGTTGGGTGGCCAACTTTGCAGGCAGCTGCTCTAGAAACACCCACAAGCCCTTGGAGACTAACTTTCAGCAGATGCTTTCAGGACATGGAGCTGATACAGTCAGATGCATGAAATGATGGTCTCAGCTGACTATAGAATGTACTTGAGTAGAGAGCCATTTTGGGCATATGGGCAGTATATATATATATATATATATATATATATATATATAAATGAGTAGATGTACAATTGGGTATCAGATAGGTGCATGAGACTTGTTCTTTCCATTGAGTTTTCCTCCAGAAAATAAGTATCTACACCCAGACCCCGGTCTGTCTCTCCAAAACATTTGTAGAGCTGAATCGTTTTCCACGTCTGCTGCCGTTTTGTTCAACTTTGGCTGGGGCAGTGGTGATTATGTAAACATCTGAAAAGCCATTTCCAATTAAGTTCCCATCAGTGGAACTTCTGCAGATATATAGAATGTAAAAGATGCAGGAGGGAAATTACTGGAAGTTTGGGGTTCTCTTGGTGGCAGTAAGCACGTGTTATTCAGAACTGCTTAACAAGGAAAGATTTCCTTAATGCAGGCATTTATGAGGTCTTGACTCTCAATTGCAGCTGACTCCATCGGCTTTCCTGAAAGAGATGTCTCTTACAACGGAGCAGAAGATGGCAAGCACCCATGAAGTGCACTTGCCTCGCATTGTACAGCTTTTAGACATGAGTGAAACCTCGCACCAGAAGGTACGGCCTCTTCTTCCTCACTTCTCTGATGTAATGCTAAAAAAGACCTGGATGGTATCTTGACACCAGGGAACCTCAGTGCTGGGGGATAAACTGGGCCCACCCATGGCTCCAGGCTCTCCATCTTGGGTTCCTCAGATGGCTGCATCCCCTTTTCCTCTGTGGCTGATCACTTGGTTTTGTAGCTTTGATGTAGTTTTTTTCCCTATTCTGAAAAGCTGAAATGCCTCTTCTGAGGCTTACTGTGCAGATACTAGAGGCTGTAAGCGAAAATCTGCTGCTATTTTTGGCCCCACCCCTTCTGCTTTTGGCTCCTTGCAGTATTGGAACTTGGCCTCCCAGATCTTCTTGGAAATGGAATTTGGTCTCCAAGGCTGAAAGAGGTTCCAGGCCCTGCCCTCCATGGAGGGATCATTTGGTGTTGCACCACCTGTGCAATATCCCGTGAGCCTAGTAAAGCTTTGTCTCTGTGATAGTAGCGTGTGTAGCCAAGAAAACAGAGTGCTTGGATCCTATGCACATTTACTTGGGTGTAGGTCCAGTGGAGGGGTGCCCCATGGTGTTGAGATGAGTGCGGGGGAAGCAGAGTTGGCCAGTAGCCCATTCTACACCTCGCAGGGTCTTGCTGGAAACAGCGAGTGCCTTTTCTTCTGGGGAGGCTCTCTGTACCCCCAACAGACATACTCCCTTCGGAATGAAACCACCCCGGCGACTCCTCCATCTCGATGCCCTGCACTTACCTGCTTCCCTTTGTGTCTTCAGTTCTCCTCGGTGGACCTGGACCAGTCCCTGTTTCAGCCGTTCCCGTCAGAAGTGATTTTCCAGAATTACACCCCTTGTGAGCTCTATGAAGTGCCACTGATTCTGAGGAACAATGACAAGGTGTGCCGCGCCAGCATGGCTGGAAAGTGGTGTGGAGGCGGGGTGCATGTGTGGGTTTTATGCTGCGTCGCCAAACCCATGTGAGGGGATTAGCGGAACATCCACATAGCAAAATAGCAGGCGGGGCTGTATTTTCAGTGGCAGTGTCCCATTTCTTTTCCTCTCTAGGCCCCCTCCAGATACTTTGGCCTACAGCTCCCATCCATCCAAGACAATGTGGCCAATGGATAGGAAGGGTGGGAGCCGTAGCCCTCCACTTCGGGGGAGCACCACGACGGGGATGCCGGGAGGGGTGGGTGGTTGTTCACCTGGTGGTAGGAGGGGATGCTCTGCCAGGCAATGTGGCATCAGCCCAGCCGGGCTGCTGGTTGCTACTGCGCAGAATCGCCTCTGTAATATTCCCCACCGTCACCCCTCCTGTGGCAGGCGGCAAGCCTCATGCATCTTCCTCCCTCGCTCTGAGCTGCAGCATAGCGTGTTCCTTGTACGTGCTTCTCCTGTAGATCCCCCGGTTGGTGAAAGTTGTCCTGGAGAGTTCGCCATACTTCAGAGTTGTGAGTCCCAATGATGTATGCAATAAGGTGGCTCCTGGCATGCCTTCTACGTTCCGCATCCTCTTCACTCCCGAAGAGAACAAGGTAACGTTCCACCACGTCTTCTGGTGGAAAACCTTCTCTCTACTTAAGGCAGAATCATGAAGGAGGTGCAAGAGATGCTTAGCCTGTGACTGAGATGTAGCTCCTTGTGTTTCCTCTTTTCTTTCGCTGTGGAATTTGTCTGTTAAAGCTCATCAAGCCCAATGGGGTCATCTCAGAAAGCAACTCATGGGAGAGTCAGGACTAGGAAAGGAAGGGCACCTGTGTTTGTCCAACACAGAAAGCTGTGCTCCTCAAGATAACCATGCTGATCCTGTTGATGCGATTTGCACGTGTGGCTTATGTATTCCACTTGATGGTGCAAACAGGCAAAGAGGCATGTGCAGCTCTGGAATTTGCAGCCTCAAGGTGTCCTGATGGTTTCCAAAGGGGATTGGACAACTTCATGGAAGAGAAGGCCCTCCATGGCTGCTAGTCCTGTCTGCTACCTACGGTATTGGAAGCAGGATGCCAGTATACCCCAGTTGCTGGGGAATGTGGGCATGGGATTGCTGTTGCACTCATGTCCTGCTTGTGGGCTTCCAGTGGGCAGCTGGCTGGCCACTCTGGGAACAAAATACTGCGCTTGATCAGCCCACAGGTCTGCAGGCTCCGCTCAGTTGCTCTCTCAGAAAGTTAAGCGGACGGTTCAGGCTAAATTGCCTGCTCACCCTCCCCTTGGCTGTCGGGCCTCCGAGGTGCCCAAGTGGTTCCAGAGCTTGCTGGAGCAGCTGTCCTGGCCGGCCGCCTGAGCCAGCCCATGCTCTGACTCCTGTTCCTCAGGCAGCTGGCCCAAGGAAGGCTCTGACCGGCTTCCCACCTCCAGCCTGCGGTGCTCTGGGGCCTCTGTGTGACAGTTAATAAGGAACCAGAGAGGCGGTGGCTGCTTGGGCTAAGCAAGAGCAGGCCTTGGGAGGGGAGCAGCTCTCAGGGGAGCAGCATTAAGTGGGAGAGGACCGTCACTGTCTCCCTGCTGGCTGTGCTGCTGCTGTTACTGTTGCTCCGAACCAGCTCCCGAGCTGCTTCCTCCCTCCTCTCCCCGCCCGTGTATTTGTGCAGGTTAATGTGCAGCTGGACCAGGGAGGAAGAGCAGCAGTTTTGGGTGCAAAACAGGCTGGGGGAGAAGGATGCGGCCATCATCCTCACCCACAACCAGTCCCCATGAAGACTGCACACAAAATGGCCACTGGGGAGCATTGTCTTTGTTTGCCGTGAATCTGCACTGAGGCCAGGAGTTGTTTCCCCCTGGCATATTTCATGTATTTCTTAGCAGCCTTTCCAGACCACCGTCTTCTGATATAAAACATGCACTTCTGTATCAGCATTATAAATTAATAAAATCATAGAGTGCAGGACACGGAATAATGGACTTCAGTTAAAAGAAACCAGATTTAGTCTAGACATCAGGAAGAACTTCCTAACTGTCAGAGCTGAAGGACAATGGAACCTATTACTTGGGGAAGCTGCAAGCTCTCCCTGTCCAGACATTCACAGAGTGTCTGGACAGTCATCTGAAAGGGATGGCCTTCTGGCCCCTTCCAATTCTATGATTCTAAGATTCTATAAATTAATTCCAAGCAAGTTTAAGAATAATCTACTAAGAGAAGCAGAGTATGTAATAGAAACCTTTCAACTGAAAGTCAAACCAGGAGATTACTGCTTAGATTAACAATAGCAAAGTACAGTGAAAAGTTATGGCATGTTGGAGTAAATGTGTTTTGCTAGAATTAAAATGATTGAGGCTTCACATGAGCGTATTTAGTATTTCATATACTTTTTTATAAGCCATTTCTAGCCACTTTCCAGTATTTGTGGCAAGGGACCAGGACTGAGAAAGCCCTACCTCCAGAGCCCACCATTTTAACAAAACTTAAAAACTGGCCTGTGGGCAGAGCCTCTTCCACTGGTGCTTCTGGGTAGGAGCCAGATCCCGTGTCACAAAGAACATCTTGAGGCTGTTTCTGGGCACCTGCATTTGTGGGAATAATACTGAATGTGAAGGACTCTCCTCACTTTGCACGCTCATCTTTCCCCCAGGATTATTTCCATGAAGTAACCTGCATTACTGAAAGGGAAAAATTTATTGTTCCTATCCGAGCAATTGGTGCAAGAGGAATTCTGGACTTCCCAGACCAGCTGAATTTCTCCACCTGCCCTGTAAAGTATAGCACAGAAAAAACTCTGCTCGTTCGCAACATTGGCAACCGAGAGGCTCGCTACCAAATCACCACACAGAGGTAAAATCCTGCATTTTTGTCTGGATTGGAGGAGATCTGATGATGGAGTGAGGCTTCAGCAATAGCCAGAACATCAGGCAGGCAGACGTCTGGGGGGCAGGAGGGCACAGGTTCAGGGCACTTCTCTTGGGTGATTCACGTCTCTAGGAAGTAACTGCAGGCACAGCATGAGGGAGAGCCAGTGTCCTAGTCAGTCAGTCAAATAACCAAGCACTTATATTTATTTGGCAACAGAGATGTATTGACTGATTGCCCTTTTTGAGTAACACAATGGAGAGGAGTTCTCCGAAGCATTCTAGTTGTTGCAGATCTTTTGCTTTGCCCTTATTAAGGCCCCCCGTTGATGTTTTGGTCTTCTGCGTCTTTTTCGTTGTCATTCTTTAATGGGCCCAAACTTTTTAAATAGACCAATTAACTTTAAACCTTTGTTTCTCTGGATCTTTTCATTGCAAAACCATAAATTATCACCCCAAAATCAATTCCTCTTGCAAGTTCACACTTGACAAACTATGTAGGTAAATTAACTGTTCTTACTCCAAAGGAGAAAGGCCTGTTGTTTTGCACTGGGCTTCTTGAAGGGTGTTTTTGAAAGCCCCACTCATGATGCAAATGTCATTGAAAACTGGTTTTATTAGGAATGTTGTTATAGTAAATCTCAGTTAACAAGATAAATCTTAGAATAGTAGAGTTGGAAGGGGCCATGAAGACCCTTGAATGGGGTAGTTCATTCTCTTCCTCAAAGTATATGTTACATTTTCTTTCTAAAAGTAAAATTCCACAAAGAAAATTCTGGGAAATCTCTGCCCACTTTGTATGCATACCTTGAGCATTTTAAAATCTAATCATTTACTGGCAGTATGGTGTATGTGCAAGAGAACTAGAAATTATTTCCCTGTCAGCAGTGCTACTCCAACCAGCAGCGCTGCTTCTTGCTTTCCTGGAGGTTGGTGTCCCTGATCATGTGGGTGCTTGACTGCTTTTGCTCATGGGGCTCTGTCGTCGCCAGTCTGGAGAGAGCACGTTGCAAGGGAAGCACGGGGCCCTGCCTCTTGAGCCACAAGCGCTGTTTTGCGTGCACCCTCCCTGCCTCTCTCCCAGGGGCCCAACACATCCCTGTCCGAGTATGGCTCATTGTGCTCCAGTGTGTCTTCTGCCAGGCTCCTCAGGTCTCAGAAGACTGGGCCAGGAGGCACAGAGGCGTGTGGGGGAAATGACCCTCAGCGTCCTTGTGCCTCAACTATGCAGCTGGGCCTCAGTGGGTTCCCTTGTGGTTATGGGATGGCAGCCCAGACTGTCCCCCGGTTCTTCTCCTACTATGCTTGGGCTATTTGTCTGTGTGTGTTTGTATGTTAGTTAGGCATGCGGCGGAGGCTGGGGAACGGCAGCTTGTGCATGTGTGTATGCATGAGGGAGAGGCAGGTCTGTCTGTCTAACTAGGAAGAACGGTGTGTGTGGGACAGCCGGTGCTTTTCAAAGATGCTGTGTGTGAGAAAGAAGCTGCTGTCATGTGTGTTTGTGCATGTACAAAGGAGAAGGCAATTCACCTGGTGTGCGGTTCATTAGCCAGACTAGATTTTTCTAATTTTTTAGGGATGATTAATTTCCCTGTATCTAATCAAACTACACGGAGCTAAATCATGGTGCACGTTTGCTTTTATTTCATTACAGGCCTTTCTCTGTTGAGCCTTCTATTGGGACCCTTGGAGTGCAGGAGACCGAACAATTTACCGTTGAATTCCGGCCAGAAAAGACCGGCAGTCACTCTGGGGACTTCCTAGTGCATTATGACACCGGTGAGTGCAGAATGTCAGGACGTGATGTTTTCCTTTCTAGTTCCCCCTTCTGCTCTGAATAAAGGGACGGGAAGTTATGTGAATGCCATCCGTTGCAGCCCAGATAATAGGAAGCTCTGCTGAAAGGCACGTGCCCTCTTGCTGCTTCCGAAGAGGGCTGCTTTGTGGCCTGATGAACTTGCCGTGGATTTTGTGCAGGAGGGTCCCGGGAGCTCCACCAGAATGAACAGAGGCTACCTGGCAGCATGGTTTGCTTATTAACTCTGCGCTGGTGTTGCGTGCTGTCAAGTCATCTCCCACATACGGCAGTGCTGTGAAGGACTAACCCCTGCAGGTTCCTCACAATCAGTGCGTTGTTTTCCAGATGCTCTTGGACTGAGTGGTCAATAATCTGATCTAGAGTTTTGCCTGCTATTGAGATCAATCTGACTCTTCCACAGCTTCTTGAAACACAGGGAGGCACTCATGGTCTTTTCTAGAGTAAATTAAATCTTTAACCAAGGTGGAAGGGATGATCCTGTCAACACACACCTGTGGCTGTGGTTCTCAGTAACAGATCTTAGGCAGTGAAAACATGGTGGGAGGGAGGATACATGAGGACACAGGCTGGGTGGCGGCGCCGCCATGTAGAGCGTTAGCAAAGAAGGCATGCATGGTGCTTGGCCAGCAGGTGTAGCAGCTGGTGCAGTGTGGAAATACTGGCAAGGGCAGCTCAGACTGCAGGTGGGCTGTACAGTGGCGGTTCTGAGCCCTTTGGCTGCAAGATGGTTTGAGAGGACAATTCCTTCAGGTTTTAGGACGTTACTTCAAATGAAGCACTGTTTGGAAAAGCTGCATCAGCCTCAGGGCGGCTGATGTTCAACCCTTTCTGTGCTTTGCTCTTTCTCCCAGGAGAAGATATTCATGTGAGCTTGTATGGAGCTGCTACAGATGTCAATGTGAGACTGGACAAGAACTCTCTGACGGTGGAGAAAACATTTATCACTTTAGCAAACCAGCGTCTTGTGGTTATTCACAATAGGAGTGATATCATTGCGCATTTTCAGTGGAAAGTCTTTGCAACCCAAGAAGAGGAGGAGCAGAAGAAACACAGGTAAGCTTGAGTGCCGTGGCGTCTGCCGTGGGGGAATGCCTGTAGAGCGGACGGAAGATGCGCGTTCAGAGAGAGCAGCTTGGTTGGTCCTGGGTGGTTCTGTGCTACTCTGCAAACCGGGCAGTGACAGCCTTGCGCACTCCGCTCCCCTAACCACCGAGTGCAGAACCCTCATTCCTGCTTCTTCCCTTCTGTGTCTGGACCGCTGCTCTCCACTGTCCGTGTGCACTGGCCTCTGAGCTGATGGTGTCGTCATTGCTAACATTGTGGATACGGTTTGGGCTGACGTTCTCAGGCTGGAAGGAGCAGCAGTTGACCCCGTTCAGGAACCGCAGCAACCCGCCAGAGACCCGTGGCTACTGGGTGGTGCAGAAGTTAAGTAACAAGGTTCCGTTCTTGCTCCCTGTGGCTCCAGCCTCTGCCACACGCTGCAGGCTGAGGAGGAGGGTGTGCTCGATCAGCTGCTGCTGGAGTGCCCGATGAACCCTGCCCTTCGTGAGCATCTCTCCATTGTCACGCGGACCTTTCAGAATCGCCTGGCAATGGTGCGTGAGGACTCCATGCTCTTCAGCAACAACATCTTCACCATTGAGCCTCTGGTAAGGAGCAGGGCCTGACGGGCCGTGACAGGCGCAAGCAGACGGACAGTTAGGAAGCGTGTCCAGGGCTGGCTTCTGTGTCCTCCCACTAGCCCTCACTCCTGAGTCTCTCACTCTGTCCTGCCCTAGCGAGAGGGTTCCTCCTCAGAGGGGGACCTGGAGGCCTTACCCAGGGCGCCCCTGCACAAGCAGTTCAGAAGGAGCCCAGGTCCTCGGGGAGACTGCTGAGGATCCGTGATGGCTGCAAGGGCCGGTCCCGGCAAGGAGCGTGGTGTGGCCCAGGAGCTTTTAGGAGGAAGACTTCTTCAGATGACCCTTTGAGGGCATTCTGACTGCTTCCGCTTAAAAGCTTCACTTCCTGGCTGGAAGAGCTACTGCGACAAACATCCCTTTCCTAGCCCTTTCATGGTTTTCATGCCCTTGGTGCTTTTTCTGCCAGAATGCCTGCAAATCGCCTCGGCTTGCCTTTGGCCAACCTCCTTGCTAAATCTGTGTCTGACGCTGAGCACCGAACACCTGCTAGCTCTGACCTTGGGCTGCCTTGAGCTTGCTTATCACCTGCTTCCTGACTGAAAAGGGCCAGCAGCCCCTACCCAAACCCTAAGCCCCAGAAAGTGCTTTCCTTAGCTATCTCTGCCGTTAAGATACTCAAAACCAGACGTGCACGATCTTTTCTCAGCTGTGGGCATGTCTGGGGGAAGTGTCTGCACAGCAGAGTTTCTTGTCCCCTTACAGGTTTCCCACATGTTTTATCCTTCCTCCTCCACCCCGCTCCCCTTTCCCATGTAGGTTTTCTTTTCTTGTCATATCCCCTCTCTACTGCTGCTGCCCATTTGCCTCCCTCCACACCCCGTGGTTTCACTGCTTTTGCTGTTGCTTCTGCCGCCAGCCCCAGTGAGCTCAGCAGGGGGAGAGCGTGCTCTGGCGTGCTCTCCCTCGCCCGCTCTTCCGCTGCCCTGCAATTAGAAAAGTGAGCAAAGGGCTTCGCTGCTGTTGCCATGAGCACCATTCCGAAGCAGGGAGCTTTCAAGGAGGCCGTGCAGTCCAATCTCCTGCTTCTGTACCAGAGATCCAGAGCTAGCGCAGCCCCTGCAACCAGCTGCCCAGCCTTCTCTGGGGGCTGTCAGTGAGGGAGAGATGGCACCCGTCCAGGGTAGCGGCTCCTCTGGCCACCGAGACTTTGCTCCTGATGTTCAGTGAGGGCTGCCTCTCCTTCAGGCCAAACACATTCGGTCCCTCCATCCTGGTTCATAGGATATTTTCCCATGCCCTTGGCCATCCTTCTTGCCCTCTTCTGCATGTGTCCAAGTTTGTCTATGTTCTCCTTGAAGGGTGGTGACCTGAATTAGCGGCAGTATTCCAGAGGAGGTTGGGCTAGAGCAGAATAAAGTGGGATTATTACTTCTCATGACACGGAAACAACAATTTTGTTAAAGTGGTATGACCCTCATACCACAGACTCATGTTTAGCTTGCTTGTTTTCAGCTGCAGTCCTGCTGGCCCTCTCCGAGCCCTGCTGCCAAGCCAGGCAACTCTGTCCGAGGCAGGCGCTTCTCGTTTTGCAGCTTTTGTTGCTTAAACGCACAGCTTTGCATTTGTTTCTGTTTGGCTCTGTTTCCCATCCTGTGAAGGCTATTCTGAATGTATTTCTGCCTTTTGAGCTGTTAGTTTAGCTTCCCACATTTGTGTTGTTCTCCAGTTTGATAAAGATCCTTGCCACCCACAAGCTGCAATTTAAGTCAGTGATAAAACCATTGAAGAACATGAGGCTTAAGACAGAGTCCAGCACTACCTTGCTTGGGAGCTGCCTCCTGCCTGAGGGGGAAGTCTTGCTGAGCTCTCCTTTAGCACAGTTAGCATTTGTGACTTGGGAACAGGCTCACAAGGGATCTCTTGAGTCCTTCAGTGTTATGAGGATGCAAACAGAGCGGCCCTGGCAGCCAGCACCAGGAGGGCTGTTTGCCAGGCTGAGCCAAAGGCGGGGGTTATCGATCCTTCAGTGTCTGTGCAAAACCAGTTCCGAATACAGAGTACACGACACTCGGCTAAAGCAGATTGGCTGAGCGAACCTTCCAGATGAGACGCGGAGAAACAGTTAATCAGGAAAGCAAACGACGCACGATCCAGGTTCAGTCATCTTCAGCTGCTGCTGTTCTCACTCACACAACAGCTTGAGGAAAGAGTGTTTGTGCCTTGCATGGAGGACTGGGTGGCTGCTGCCGTCCATCCACTGGTCTCCTGGCCTGAGCTGACAGAGATGATGGGTTTCTTGTGGGGCCTTGATTGCCTTCCAGGGCCTCCACTTTGTTTCCAAGCCATTCTGGCAGCTTTCTTTTAGAGCAAAAAACATCAAGCCAGGGGAGAAGCCTGACCCAGAGTCAAAATTCCTCCATACTGCAGTTATACCACAGAACAACCCCCCCCCCCACACCCCCGTGCTTGGTCAATAAAATGTAGGGAAAGGGAAAGAAACAGAAGCCTGTGGGATGGGGAGGGAAGCCCCGGTAAAGGACGCACCTTTTCCCCCATGATGCAAGTAGAGAATGGGGCCCCGGGCTTCTGTTCCAGGAGGTAAGCAGCAGGTGTCCACGACTGGAGCGTCAGGGGCATGGGCAGTGGAGGCCTCGGCAGGAGGAAGCAAAGGCAGAGCCAGGAGCAAGCCATGGTCAGGGACTGGCAAGGTATGGCAAGTCCAGAGACGAAGGTGGAGCCAGGAACAGGGGAGAGTCAGGGCACAGAGGAGGGCACTGTGGAATGGGAGGCAGGGCAGGAACACCAAGCAGCCTCCACAAAAATTTGTGCAGCAGAACTAGGCAGGGTGGCGCAGCCTTTTATAGCCCCTCCTGCGGCTCCTGGGAGGTTGCAGTGGCTCTAATCCCTGCAGGCGCCTGTAGGTCGGATTGAGACAGGCTGCCTGTCCTCTCATGCCACCAGGGAGAACCAGGCGGCTCTCCTGATCCTGATACCAGCAAAGCAGTGGGATAAGCCCCTCGTGTAGAGAAGCCCGGGGGCAGATTTGTGTTGAGGACCCACGTGATGGTGATGCTGGGGACTGCAAGGTCCAGGCAGAGGCCATTGACTCTCAAGTGGCTCAAAGCTTCCCGGATGCCATGAGAACCATGGGCTTTCACACAATGGAATTGGCACAGCATCTGTGGCAGGACATGCGCCCCAGATGCCCTTGCCAAACGAGGCAAGCTGTGTGGCTGGAAGAGAGGCTTTTCAGTGGAGGCCTCTGATCTGTGGCATGTCCTTTGCAAAGAGGCACACCTGCTACCTGCCAATCTTGCAGCCTTTTCAGACCTAGATGAAGTCTTTTTCTTCTCCCGGACATTAAAAAAATATAGTACCGTCCAATCTTTTCTTATTTGCTACATGGCTTTTATTTCCTGCTGCTGGTGTGTCACAAGTTGTTTATATCATTGTTTTGTATTTTATGTCTTTAATTTACCTGCACATCACCAAAGAACTCTTGTTACTGGGTGGTCAAAACGCTAATTATACACACAAACACACATGCACCAGAGCCACCCAAGAAGGAAACAGGATTAGAACAAAAGTGTTTCTGTGAGGTCAATTCAGGATCTTTGTAGTTTGGGCACATCTTTTTGCGGCTTGCAAGGAGAACAAGAAGAGATTCCAACTCTAGAGGGTTAAGGAAAACTAAAGGAGCCCAACAAAAGAGCAGAACATGTTCATGGAAAGTAAAAAATCCAAACATTCTGAGCAGGGTTCCAAGCCCTTGGGAAAGAAATGCTTATATAACTTTGAGTGCATCTCAAATTTAGCCTTATCTGGCTTTGCATGAAGGCATAACACATCAGCAGAAAAGGCTGTGAGGGAAACCCAGGTGGCTGCCAGAGGACAGAGCTCTCACTCCTGACTGCTGAATAATGTGCATTCCATTTGCAGCATCCTGTGCCGTTAGCAGCAAGTCACATTGGGAACATGTGCAATCTGACTCCTTGGAAATGGAGACCAAGGCAAGGGTGGGCGGGGAAGGTGCGCACAACCATCGCACTGCCCTTGATAGGCCATCACTGCCCTGCCATGTTCTCACATGCACAGGCGCTCGCTCAGAGAGGGGTTATAATTGCCAGGGTGGCTGCTCTGGAAAAGGCTTCCAGAGATCAGACTGAAGACTGCCCTTGCCTCCGGTACCTAAACTTGAGCAACTTGGACCGGAGGGTGGTCTGAAGGCACATCAGGCACCTGCCATGTGGAAGCTAGGTGGGTCTGGGCTGCTCTGAGCTTGGAGGAGAGACGCTTGGGAACCGCGTGTAGCCAGCTTGCATTCCACCATGGGAGAAGGGGGGATATAAATACAATAAGTAAATAAACTTAGAAAACAGAAGCAGCCATTTTAAAGTGGTTCTTTCTGCATCAGTAGTCAAGGTGGAAGTAGTTTCAGTCGCGTGATGGAGCCGCAAATCCCCGTTGGCAGTTGAAGGAGCCAAAGGCAGCTGAAGGGGTAGGTCCAGACTTCTGTAGGGCAGGCCAAAGGAGGAGGCTCTTCAAGCAAGCGTATCTCTGACATTTTTTTCCTTCATGCTTAGGAGGGAGATGTGTGGCCCAATTCCACCACTGAAATTAGTGTGATCTTCAGGCCACAAGAAGCTGGGGTTTATCAACGAACAGTGTACTGTGACATCTCAGGTATGGCCTTCCTGTCTCATGCTGTCATCATGGGATTGGGTGTTCTCGGACTTGCTGTACTGGTCTCACATGCTGGTGAGCCTGAGCACAAGGTGCCCCTTCGCTCGCAGAGGGCGGTTTCGGCAGATGCCTGCCAGCATTCTTGTGAGGTCTGCTGTGCACACCCTCTGCTTTGCTTGGCAAGAGGAAGGGATCCAGCCCTGAGCGTGCTTGGCTGTTCTTTCCTAGAACTGGAGAGTTGGAAGGGCCTCTGGCAATCATCTAGTCCAGTGAGGGTGAGCCTATGGCGAGCTTTCGGGCTTTCGCATGGCCAGTTAGTGAGCTGCCAGGGATTTGCTTGGACTGTCATTTTAGCAGAAGGTAGGAAATACCCTCAGGTGCCTTTTTCAGGGCCGGTCAAAAGCTGGTGGTCAGTGGAATGTTGCCCCTTGTGCTGGTGGTCAGCAAATTCAGGTTTTATTGGCACTTTATGATAAATGAGTGGATTCTGAGTCGCAGTTTGGGCATGTGGTCTCTAAATGGTTCACCTTCATGATCTAGTCTGACTCAGTTCTGGGCCCGCACTGCCAGGTACCACCGTGGCATCTCCGACAGATGTCCACCCAGCTTCCACGACTGATAGGAAGCTTCTCCTGAGAATAAGCCCAAGCCTCCTTCCTCGTAATTCCCTTCCCTCTGGGCGCCATCAGTGGCTCCTCTAGATGGTGCAGTGGTGAGCCAAGACCCAGCCTCTCCTCCTGAAGGCATGGGTCACTTCTCTTGCCAAGCTGCAGAGGTGGCACCGTCTCTCGGTGCTGAGGCACAACGAGCAACTCCAAGAGTTAAAACTCAGTCCTCAGCATGGTGCGGCCAGAAACTTGGGTCCCCTTGCTCTAATCAGTCTCCTCACCAACACTTTTGCAGGCCATTCAGGCATCTTGGAAGGTGCCACCACTGCCCCCAAGAGACGGGAGACCATGTATAGTAGGCAGCTCCTTCCCGTTTCTTTCACCCACCACTGAGTGCTATAATTGTAGCATCTTCACGGGGAAAATTACACAAGTTTGCCTTGCCTGTAGACAAGCAAAGCAAATGGGTTGCACAATCTCCTCTTCCACTCCCCTCAGACTGCCAAGCAGCAGTGTCTGGGTACCAACTTTTCCTGTGGGAGAGGATGTGCTCCCTTTGTGTTTTACCGGGTGACCAGGTGGAATGTGCCTAGGCTTTGCAGTTGTCCAGACAACAAACCTGGAACTTCACACCATCAGGCCAACCCCACTGCCAAGGCTCCGCCACTGTGCTCAGCTCTGGCCAGCAGGACTTCTGCAGGAAGCTTTATTGAGGCTCTGCCACTCCACAGAAAAGGCTTGTTCACTGCAAAACTGATGAGGCAATGGCCTCCTTCCAGAAAGCAGAGTAAACTGCTAGGAAGATGGGAACAGGCCAGCCCTCAACCCTGTTGCTGTTCCAACAATGCCCTTGGCTTTAACAGTCCATGTTTTAGTCATGCCAGCAAAGCGATCATTTGGTGAGACAGCAGGCGCTGCACACGCCATGGCACCGCACTGGTTCTTGACTCCTGCTTGGCCTGGCTGCACACGCTCCTCTCCACCTTTCAGCCGATCACAGACCTGGTGGTGCAAAGCCAAGGCACTATCCTGTTGCGGAGCCTTTAGGCGCCAAGTATTAATGTAACTGCATTTCCTAAGAAGATCAGGGCTAGCCATTTCAGCTGCCAAGCACAAATGCAGAGTGTTAGTACAACTCTGTACTAATTGCTATGTGTGCTTGTTGCCAGGCAAACCCCATACTGTGTTAAGTTTTAAAAAGGCAGGGAGAACTTGTGTGGTGCATGCATTTTTGGGGTTAAAGCTCCCAGTGTTCAACAATTGGATGTGCCACGCAGACTACAAATTAAAGCATCCACTGACACAGTGGGAGTTTTGGCTGCTGTGTTCCTTTGATCTATCGTCCAGAAGGAGTGATACTTCCCTGGAGAGCCTGCCAGATCTAATGTCACTACCAGTAGAGAAGGATTCAGTTCTGCTTGCCATTCAGAAGATGTTCTGGCTTAGCAGAAGCTCTTCTTTTGGGCTCAAACAAAAGTAAAACCGTCACCTACGCAAATGGTTGCGTGTCTGTTGACAAACTGAGACTGCAGCGACTCCCAGGGACTGGGTGTGCAGCCACACTTAAATCCTGCAGCTGGATTATCAATGCCTCTTATTATGCAGAACCAGAAATTCCGTGGATGAGGACCTCACTGTCCACTGACCTCATTCTATACGCGTGGAAGGCCAAAATATGCAAGCCTGCTTTTGGAATGGCCACGTTCTCAGATCATGTCGGTGAAAATGCAGTCTTGCAATTTGCATGGCATTCTGGTTTTATTTGTTCCGCCTTGAAGACTCCGCCTGAGATACAATACAAAATGACCGACAATAAAGTCCAGTGTGCTTACTGTGGCAGAAGAATGTGCGGGCCAGAGGCCGCCTGGTCACATGCACACAGAGGGTCTTGAAGACCCTCTGGGCAGAAAAGCAAGCAGGAGCCAGCTCTGCAGAGCAAGCTTCAGAGGTAATGGAAGATAGGATAGGTGGCAGGGGGCGGATACTAGGGGAATAGCATATAGACTCCCCAGTGGGGGAGGAGGGCTTTCTGCCACCAGAAACAGGACTTCATTCTTTGTGGGTTCATCCCTCCAATATCAGGTAATCTTCCAGTTTGTCACCAACTGACTTTTATTAACCCAAACTAAATCTAAAAGTACATCTTGCTAGGCCAGCATGGCTGCCTCTGAGTTTGTTTGATTTCTGTTTTGGTTTTAATAGAACTGCAGCGACTCTTAGTTCCACTTTTCAGGGCTAAAGTAGTCCTTAGTAGAGGGGGCATCTCCCACCAAATGCTATCTACATAGGTTGTCATTGTTTTCCTAGTTTGCCACAGATTTATTAGAACATCATTTTCCTCCAGATGATCCCCATCCCTGTCAACAGGCTTCTGTCATGAAAATGGCGATGCCACAGCATTGCATTGCCTGTCAGAATTTACTGCCTGGTGGTGCTACAGAGTCAGTTGAGAGTGAGGCCGACGGTATCTGGATTAGCTACAGACAGTGAGCACAGAATGGTGCATTTCATGGCTCCAGCTAGAGATTTCAGTAAAAGAAACTGAGGTAGCAATTTCCTCCAGTGTGAAGACTGCTGCCAGGCATTTTTAGGACTTGATATCAAATCTGCAAATGGTTGCAATTTAAAGGCTTCATCCTAGAGCCGCCCTTTGAGCTCCTTTTGCCTGTGTGTGGTGACCGGGCTGGCAAACTGTCCCTGAAGAGCAAGAAGCTTCCCTTCCCCTCTGGTTTGGGAGCTCATGGCTTTTAATACCCACTCTGGGTTCCAAGGTTCTGTTGACCAAGTGGCCGTGGTTGCCAAAGCCGCATGGGCGCAGGAAGCGCCCCTGTGATGGGCTGAATAGCGGTGGCCCAGGGACATCCTGCACAGGCCCTTACCTGCCAGCGATGCCCTCCTGCCATTCGTGTGGGCCATGAGTCCGATGCTCGTGGTGGCGGTGCTGGCCCACCGCGAGGGGAGCGTTTCAGCATCCTTCTATGAGGTGCAAGGGCAGGCTCCTGTGTGACATCGTCAACCCAGAATGCATCACGGTGGCCTCTAGGATTTCCCCTTGAAAATGGAAAGCAGATAAAATGTACACAAGAACATCTCATTCTCAGTTAAAATCTGATGTTTTCACAGATGATTTAAGCTTCCACAAGAGGGAATCTCCAGGGGCACCTCCTTATCATGTCCGTATTATGTGGAGCCATTCTTAGTAGATCTTCTAAGCAAAGGGAGCACAAAAGGACATAGGAGCAGGCAGTATCTCACCTGAGGGGCCAGGCTGCAAGGTGTTCTGACCTGATAAGGCCACAGTGAAATAGGCTTCGAAGGCGAGGGAGGATCCACGTAGGCTGGCCTTACCTGTCCTGGAACCCTGCAGATGAGCTGGACTCCTGATGCCCTCCAGAAGGGTTGTTCTGGCAGGCAGCCCCAGGAGTTGCAGTCCAAGGCATATGGGAGGATCGGGTTGGGGAAGATTGCTCTAGTTTAACGTGCATAGTGATCCATCCTTGTCAGGAGATGATCTGTAGCATTCTGGGTCGCTTGAAGTCTCCAGGCTTGGGGTGGGCCCATTTCTGTGAAGGGCCTTTTGGTGTAGGGGGTTGGTGGTCACTATCTAATCTCCCCGGGTTTCCTGGTTATACAGCAACCTTAGCCAACCAGTGTTATTCATTATTTATTGATTGCAGTTTTATACCACTCTGTAGCCCTGCCGGGCTCTCTGGGCAGTAAACAAGCTCTTGGGACCAAGTTATCTAGCAAACTGCTTACCCTTATATATACACACACTCAGCTTTTAAGATCTTTGGAGAAAGCCTTGCTGGCCACTCTTTGACAAACAGAGTGCCTGTGTGTAATATTGCAGACGTGGGCCTTCTCAGTGGTGATCCCTACTTCTGGGCTTCCTTCGACCAGGCAATTTTAAGGCAGGAAACCTTTTAAATCTGTTTTAAAACCTGCTGAAAATGCACTTCCTTAAGCAGGCTTTCTCTGGCTTGTAGTTATAATTAGTTGCAATGTTTTTATTAGTGTATTTTGAGCTGTAATTTTAAATAGTGTATTATAAGCCATGTGTTGTGTCTGCATCATTTATCTACACTTCATGCACTGGATGGGTAGTCCAACCTTCCATTTTCATCCATATTTCAAAATAAATGCATTTATTTATTTACACCCTGCCTTTTTTCCTTCAAGGAATCCACATTGGCTTACATAAGTCTCCTTTTTCTCTGTACTTTATCCTTACAACAACATTGTGAGGTAGGTTATGCTGACATTCACTGGCCCAAACTCACCCAGGGAGCCTCATGGTCAAGTGGGGACTAACGCCTGGATTTCCCAAGTCGCAGTCCAGCACGCTAATCCCTGCGCCCCACCGGCTTCCACTTCTGAGGGCACTGCAACTTGTGCAAAATGTTCCTGAGCAAGACCCAAACTATTCTTTCTCTTTTATCTGTCAAGTAAGATACACTTTTCATGTGTTAGGCTTTGCGATCAGTATCCTGAAGACGGGACATTGTCTTTACAGGCCGAGAGACCAGACTCCCTCTGCGCATCAAGGGAGAGGCCATGGCCCCCAAACTGTCTTTCAACTTTGACCAGTTGGACGTTGGGAAAATTTTTGTTGGATCAGTCCACAGTTATGAGGTGAGGCCTGTTATTGTGGATCAAAACTGTGTCCTTCCTTCTGTGGCAGAGCTGGTGTGTGTGTGTGTGTGTGTGTGGGGGGGGGTTATTTATCTATTTTATGAGTTACCCTGTGGCTGATATTCTAGGGACACTGTTGAAAACAATAAAACCAATGACAAAAACCAGTAATAAAACACATTAAAAAGTATTGGTTTGAAAGCATCAACAAAATTCAGCATTTAAAGGAGCTGAACTGAGTAGCTAAATGCGGAGATTATTTTACAGTGTAGCATAAGGTAAGCAGCAGTTAAAGATCATTTTAAAAGGCCTGGGAAGAACTGTGGAAGCCATGTTGATTTTTTTTTTCTCAGCGGGGCTTATCCCTCCATGAGCTTATTGCTTCTATCTTTAATAGTGCTTTCAAGGAGTGTACCCAGAACAGATGTTGAGCTAGCTGACCTCTAATTTCTCAGTTCCCCCAGAATCCTTTTCTAAAAATTGGTGTTACTCTGACCATTCTCCAGTCCTCTGGTACAAAGGCTGATTTTAGGAACATAGTAAACATTTTGGTAAGAAGTTCAGCAATTTCATGTTTGATTTCTTTGAGAATTCTAGGATTCCATTATCTTCCAATATTCCTTAGATGCTTTCTTTCTTTTGATACATTCAAATAATTCTTTATTGTTAGCAATGTGCTCCTCAAATTGTTTCTCTGATTGGCCACTTGCATATCCCTTGTTCAAGCTTGTGGTCCTTTCTGTCTTTTTCATTTGAGCAAGACTTCCATTTTAGGAAGCTTTCTTCCCTCTAATAGAAACATAGAAACAGAGCGAGTCAGAAGGGGTCTCCTGGGCCATCTAGTCTGACCCCCAGCTCCAGCCAGCTCCACCCATGACATGCCCACCATGTGCATGTCTAGCCTATCTTTGAACACCTTCTCTGATGGGCCTCAACCACCTCCCGTGGAAGCCCATTCCATACCCTTGAGGTCCTAACTGTCAGGAAGTGCTTCCTGGCATCTAAATGGAACCCTGGTTCCCTGAGCTTTGCTCCGTTGGAGCATGTCCTGCCTTCCTCTGCAGGGGAGAACAGGTCTCTACCCACCTCCGTGTGACATCCCCTCACATACCTGTATGTCGCCAACAGATCCCCCCTGAGTCTCCTCTTCTCCAAGCTGAAGAGACCCAGTTCCCTCAGTCTCGCCTCATACCCCATCCCCTGCAAACCGGCCACCAACCTTGTGGCCCTACGCTGCACTGACTTTAACCTGGCTATGTCCTTCCTGTAATGAGGGGCCCAAAACTGAACACAATACTCCAGTTGTGGGCGCACCAGAGTCGTATAGAGTGGTTGTAATCCCTCTCTTGATCTAGAAGCCACACTTCTGGCTATGCAACCAAGGGTGGCGTTCGCCCTCTTGACTACCGCATCACACTACTGACTTACATTCAGCCTGCAGTCAACCAGCACCCCGAGGTCCCTTTCACAAGTGCTGCTCTCCAGCCACTTGTCCCCTAACCTGTACTTATGACACCCATTCCTATGCCCCAAGTGCAAGACCTTGCGCTTATCCACATTGAATGCCATCCTGTTGCCTCCTGCCCACTTCTAATCACTTTCTTGACTCTGTGTATTAACCATGCTGGTGATTTCCTGGACTTTGTCCTACATTTGCTCACTTATTATCTGTGCCTCTATTAAAACTAGAACTTATTTTTGATGCTCTGTTACTAACCTGCATCCCTTACTCAAAGGGCAATAGAAGCCAAATGGGGTAGCATGTGAGGACAGAGCCTCAAAGAATTACCCTCGTATATCCCAACTTCAGGTAGTTTAAAATCTTCTTCCTCCAGTGTCACTCCTTGCTGCTTAATGTTTGAATATTATCCACATTATACAAAAAGCAAAGGTAGCCCATGTTCGCCATCAGCAAACTTTCAAAATAAGTCATAGGTTAGCTTTGTTAGGCCCTGTCATGATGTCAGAAAAGCTGTGGCCAGCACCAGCCCTCCTGTGTAGTCCACCGAACTATGCACACCTCACACTTGTTCCACTGATGTTTACCACCCACTCATAATTCGCTGGTCCATAAGGACAATAGGTGGGCTCCCACTACTCTCTTGCCTCTAACAAGGAAGGCAAATGCTGGAGGCAGGAACCAGCCATGCTCTCGGTGGTGCTGCACCATCCTCTGGGCACCACCTCCTGCTGATCAGACCCCGTCCTCCACATTGCGCTCCCTCTGGCGGCTGTGCTGAGCTGAAACCAGCTGGTGATTGCGGCTGCCGGAGAAAGGCGATGGCTCTTCCCAGTGTCCCTGGGACGGTGCCTGGAGAAATGCATGGGGAGGAAGAGGGGAACGAAGTACTCATAATGAGACCAGGTGGCCGTCAGGCTCATCGCAGGCACCAGGCAAAAGAACTGAACCACCATGGCTTATTGCTGGGACTGGATGTCGTGTTGTGTGGGCCCAGCCCAAGAGAGGCTGGAGAGGGAAGGCTAAGTCTGGCCTTGGTAAGAGAACAGCATTCTGGGTTTGTTCTCTGGTGAGCTGATGTTTGAGCACTGGACTTAGGCTATGTATAGTCCTCTAAGTCTTGGGCTATGTCTAATCCTCAATTCATCAATGAATCCAAATATTACGTTACCAAATGCCAGCGCATCTCTCCAAACAAAGCAACCCTTGCACGCTGCGCATCCCCCTGTATTCATGTCTAAAGCCTCTGCGGGCAGTGCGGGGCGTGTGTTTCCTGCAGCTGTGCCGAAACTGCACTGGCTTTACTGAGGGCAAGGCTGGTCATGCTTGCTGTTCTGAATGGAGGGGTTTTCTTCAGCTCCAAGCAGAGCCACCAGATGTAGCTGGGAATTAAAGTCAGTTGCGGCTCGGAGACCTGGCTTGTTCTTCCCTGTCCCCACTTTGTCCTTTCCCTCTTGCAGGCCATCCTGTCCAACCAGGGAGCCATCGATGCCCTCTTCGACCTGATGTGGCCATCCACGGCGCTGGGCTCCTGCTTTAACTTCCAGCCAAGCGAAGGGATCGTGGAGCCGGGCAGCCACCAGGCCATTCAGATCACCTTCAGCTCCACCATCCTGGGACATTTCCTTGAAGAGTTCAAATTCAGTGTGAATGGCTCTCCTCAGCCTGTGACCTTAGTGATCCGGTGAGCAGAATACTGTGGGGACAACCGTTTTGTGTACTGGTTGCACCACTGGCTGTTAAAACTGCTGTTTCGAGAATCCCAGTTTTCTTTGCGAACTGATGCTTGCATTCCATAACGTTCTAGTGAGATCAGAATAGGGATGCGTGCAGAATCCGTCCAGGGTGGGAATGTCTTGGATTCCCTGGGCTCAGCTCCCTGGACTTGGCCTAGAGTTTGAGTTCTGGACAAGCACATGCCATGTTTGCAGGGCACTGGCCAGGAATCAAGCCCCTCCTGCGTGCCAGGTGCAACTGCCACGTGGATGCCAAGGCAGGCTGTTGCGAGGGGCTCCCCTGGAAAGCAGCTCCTCTGTGCAAGCTGCGTTCCGTGGCCGCCTTTCGGGTGGCTGCAGGTGACATGGGAAAGAGTTGCTGGTTGCACAGCCAGGCATCTGTCAGCATTTGTGGATCCCTCTCAGCTCTGCTCACCTTGCTAGACTGGGCCAAGCGTAGGGGTAAGTCCACAGATGCTGGGAGGGAAAGGTTCTGATTGGGCTTGTCCCATCCCTGGATCAGAAGCCACTTGTGCGGCACCTTCAAGACTGAACATGCTTATTGTGGCATAAGCTTTGGTGGATGCTGTCCAGTCCCTCTGGTGCAGTGGAGCCACTACTCTTGACAGAGTCTGGAGAGGTGAAGGAGTAGCACTAGATGGGGTGCTTGTCCTGGCTCTTCCTGGCTTTCTTTCATGGGTTCCACCCCGGGAAGCTGGCAGCTTTGTATTAAGCAGGAATCACACACGGCGCCTTCCTTGGGCCTCAGGCAGCCACGCCACAGCACTGCCAAGGCACGGTGCGAAAAGCAGGCCTCCAGGTCCAGGGCAGGGGTTGCCAACCCTCCAGCCCTCTTTGCTCTCGAAGGCAGTGCCAGTGCCCGCCTCCTCCTGCAGCCTCTCTCTCTCTCCTTCCTCCTCCCAGGGGCTGCGTCATTGGACCAACATTTCACTTCAACGTCCCATCCCTCAGTTTTGGGGATGTCTCCTTCGGTAAGTGCATGCATATCTGTGTTGCAGACTGGGCATCCTTGTTGGGGATGCCTTGTTGGTCCAGAGCCAGGCCCATGGGCAGCTCGTCCAGCAGCTGCTTGGGAAGCACCGCCCCTGCGGGCTGTTCCTGGCTGCTGTGTGCACCTGGCTGCTCTTGGCACCCTGGAAGGGCCATGCCGTGGTCCTTACTGCAGGCCCGTCGTTCTGGCGGGTGCTCCTTGTAGACTTAGATGCTCTTTCCCTGCCTCCGCTGCAAATTCATCTTCACCGATGCGCCCGTCTCATTAATTGGGAAAATATCTGTGCTGAGGTCGATCCCGGCTCCTCTGTCCCAGCCTCATTAAAGATGATCTGAAGCTGAAATGTGAAATCAATAGTGGTGTGACCAAAGACGAGCCGGCACTTGATGCGGAGGCGCCTTTCCCCACTCCTTTGCCGTGCCGTTTAAAGAGACTCGTTACTCCTCCTCTTTCATCTTCCATCATTCCACACTATTTCATTTTGCCCCTCACCTCTTTGGCTTTGGTGCATAAATTGAAAAGAAAAGCACGGCTGGAGGTGGGGGCAGATGGGCACAAAAGCACTGCTTAAGGAATCGCAAGTTTCTTTTCCTTTAATCTAGAAAGATAGCAAATTAAACATGGTATCGTGTGTATATTTGAAAGCTTGGCATACCTGGACAGGCCAACCCTGAACCTGCCCCCTCAGCTGATCTCCAGCAGGAGGGCCTTTGCTGGCTGAGGTGCTTTTCCATCCACTTGGATGGATGGACTGGGAGGGCTTTTTGGTAAGGCTTTTGCTGAGATATCGCCCACTTAGCTTCCTCAAACATTTTATTACCAATACCTGGGATCACTTCAAAGCAAAGTGGCAGCCTCCAGCCACCCCATCTTCATTTCCCATGAGTAGGGCTAGGCAAGTCTGTTGGTGTTTGGATTTTTAAACCTGAATAGGAGGAAATGCATGCATTTGTTTCCCTTCTTAACCAAAGTAAAATGAATTCGCTCCTGTTGCCAAACGCATATGACCAAACTGAGCATGGAGAGGGCGTGTGGTACTTGCCTGCCATGTAGCTGGTAAAGCTGAGGATTCTGTGAGAACAAAGGCACAGCCACCTCAATTCAGCAAAAACCTGCTCATATACTGTGTCAAGTGCAGGCTTGTGCAGACAAAGCCCTCAGAGCCCCAGGCCGAGGTCCTTTCAAGCTTCCCCCACATGCCACGTTTCTTTCTAACTCAAATGTGGACAACTCATTAATCCTCTCCTCATGAGTGCCTCTAGGCCGCCAGTGGGGCTCAGGGTCATTCTTAAGAAAGGAAGGTGGGGTGTGGCTTCAGGCTGGTGCTTTCCCCTGCAGCACACTTAGCTCAGGCACCAAAACAGGAGAGGGGAAAGGAAAAGGAATGCCCTGTCACATCTCTCTGGCAAGTTGGAAAAGGCTAAAGGCAGTGAGCACAAGAAGGTTAAATCCAGAAAAGAAGGGCCAGTAGAAAGGTAGGTGTGGGGAGCAGATTCAGCCTGTTCCGCTTGGGGTTGCACTCCCTTGAAAGGTCCAGTTTGGAGTACCCCCGGGCCCTGTGCTGGTCTCTAGATCTTCAGGTGGCCATGCTGGTGAAGCGTCTGTCTGCACAGCTCTTCCAGACGCTGCAGCTATTCCCATGCTGATTGGTGTTCTGCCAAAGGCAGGGTTTTTTTCAGATTTGGAGGCAGTGAACACGCCAGTAGGTGAAGGAAAAGCAATGCTTTATTTAAGAAATGATAGTATCTGCAGGCA